TGCACACAGTCAAGATCTGAGCCAAGGTTTCCTGAAGACCCGGAATAACAATAGGCGCAGTCAGTGTCTGAGCTGGTCCTGCTGGAGTATACGCAATTGAGACATGATCATGAACTGGGGCGGCTGGTGGATCTGCAGGTGCTACCCTTGCGAGTTACACCCCTGCCCCTACCGCGTCCCTGGCCTTTCGTGGCCTCAACTAGTGGTACTGGTGTTCGTCCGCCCTGACCGTTAACACGTGTCCTCACCATCTGTGAGGGAATAGAATAACAGAAGTTTAGTTACTAGGGTCGATAGATTCGCACGACAAGAATTCAAGAATGTGAAGTTTTTCCTAAAGGTTCTGCAGCCTCCCGAGGATAAGTACTGACGTCTCCATACCGATCCACGAGACTCTACTAAACATACTCATGACTCGTGAAACCTATATAACCTATGCTTTGATACCAACTTGTTAGGACCTCAAAACCGACCTAGTCGTAATGGAGCCTATCGTGAAATTAGGCCAGCCAACTCATTTCCAAAATAATCCACATTTCATTTAAAAATTAAGTAAAATAATTTTTCAACAGAAATCCGATAAAGATATAAAATCAAAATTTAACAAAGCGGAAAATATAAGTCCAACCTCGGGTGTCACTAAGTCATGAGCAACGCTATAATAGTTCTGAAACAAGACAAGACTAAAATAGTTTGGAAATAATAACATTGTACTAATAGGAAGATAAAGAAGGAGAAAAAGCGGAACTGTGATTGTCAGGCAGCTACCTCGCTATCTCCGTGAAGTCTACGACTGGAATAGTCAACAGCCGCTACCGTGTCCTGAGATACCCGGATATGCACACAGGGTGCAGGGGGTAACATGAGTATACCAACTCAGTAAGTAATGAGTCCAAATTATGGACTGACAGGTAGTGACGAACCAAACCTCAACAGGTAATACAATTAAACTATACAGAAAAGTAGACATGCTTGCAATTTAAGTAAAAACTCTACAGTAAATAAATACAATCTGAATAGTACGGAGTATAAAACTAAGGAAATCTTTATGTCCCAATGCACAGATAGCATGAACAATGTTCCATGTACCTCCACTCACAAGTGTTCAACCAGTCGGTACTGTATATGGCCATCTGGCCCAGGGAAGATCCATACCGGAATATATACACATCACTAACCGCAGTCATCCAGTATTGAAGATGGCCATTCCAGCCCTATGGAGAAGATCCATCTCCAGGTATCAATACTTCGGACAAGATCCATGTCAAGGGAAGATCCATCCCTCAATATCATCAATTGCGCTCACAGGGGGTGTAAAGACTCCGGAGGGGCTCCTTTCAGCCAAAACGCTATAACAAGCCAACGAAGGCATAATCAATATCTCGTTGCGGCGTGCAGCCCGATCTTATACTGTCACTCAATATTAGGATTTTTGCCTCACTCAGTCATCACTCTCCAGTATCACACACACGGGCTCAAAATGCCATGATACTAGCACACACAATGATATGACGTGCCAAATAACAATAATCGAGATCGAGGCATGATATAATATGCATGAACAGGACTGAGTATAGAATATCAATAAAGCTAATGATATAACAGCAAGAAATGACCTCTCGAGTCTCAACAGTATCAGCGTGAAGCCTTAACATGATAATTAGCATGATTTACAACTCATTAACTTAATCACATAATTATAACACAGATATCAGCAAGAAAGAGTCACTAAGTGGTGCCATGGAGTGATGCAGGCTGCAATTCTCACGATGCATGCCCACACACCTGTCACTTGGCATTTTTGTCACCTCGATAGTAATCATAGAATACATAGTTCGGGGTTTCCAACCCTCAGAACCAAGCTTAGAAGCGTAACTTACCTCAAGTCAAGCCAAAACTCTAGCCCGCGATGCAATTGTCTCTCAATTCGGCCTCCAAATGCTACGAATTAATCAAAATCAGTATATTATCATCAATATACGTTAAAGGAATGCAACCCATGCGAAAATTATCAAATTAACTCAAAATTCCCGAAATTGGTCAAACCCGACCCCCGGGCCCACATCTTGGAATTCGATAAAAATTACATCACTAGAATCCTTATCCTCCCACGAGTCTATACATATCAAGAACATCAAAATTGGACCTCAAATGGCCCCTCAAATCCCCAATAAAAAATCTTCAATTTCAAGCCCTAATCTCCCAATTTCTTCTCTAATGTTTCCATTAATTTCATGATTATTACCATGGAATAATTGCTACAAACGTAAGATACAAGGTCCAAGTAGCTTACCTCACTGAAAACACTTAAATTCCTCCTTGAAATTGAAATCCCCAAGCTCCAACTCGGCCAAAAATGGTGGATAAAAGACTGAAATTCGCGAAGTGAGGTTTATAAAGTTTCTGCCCGACAATTTTCGCACCTGCGGTCCATTTCCCAAACCTGTGAGAACACTTCTGCGTTCCAGCCAACCGCTTCTGCGGTTTTCACTTATTTTCCCTTAATCGCATCTGCGACTCCCTACTCACACCTGCGGTCTCGCAAGTGCGTTCCTTTTTCCGCACATGCGGCTCCTGGCCTTCTCACTTATGGCCGCATTTGCGGATGCTTCCTCGCTCCTGCGAACGTCGCACCTGCGGTTCCCACTCCGCAGGTGCGGTTATGACAGCTAAAGGAATTCTTTAGCACTTTCTCAAATCAAATCCTTGATCCGCCAACCTCCTGAAATCAACCCGAGGCCTTTGGGACCTCAACCAAAAATACGAACTGGTCACATATCATCATTCAAACTCATACCAACCATCGGAACACTCAAAACAACATCGAAACACCAAATCACCCTCGGATTCAAGCCTAAGGATTTCAAAACTTCCAAATTCTGTAGCCGATCCAAAAACCAATCAAACCTCATCCGAATGACCTGAAATTTGCACACACGTCACAAATGACACAATGGACCTACTCCAATTTCCGGAATTCGATTCCGACCTCAATATCAAGATTTTCACTACCGATCGGAAAATGCCTAATTTCCAATTTCGCTAATTCAAGCCTAAATCTACCACGGACCTCCAAATTACATTCCGAACACGCTTCTAAGTTCAAAATCACCTAACAAAGCTATCCAAATCATCAGAATTCACATCCATGAACTTCTACACATAAGTCAACATCCGGTTGACTTTTTCGACTTAAATTTCCAAATAAGAGACTAAGTGTCACATTTCACTCCATGACCACTTCGAACACAGAACAACCAATACGATATGATGAAATATAGTTGAACAACACATAAGGAAGTAGAAATAGGAGAAACGGAGTGATAACTCATGAAACGACTGGCTGAGTTGTTAAACCAGTAATCGGCCATCTCTTTTATTTCAAGAACAATGGCAATGATGATAGCCATTTTTCTCAAAAACTCAGAGACTTAGCTGAAAAATATGGTCCCGTCTTCACATTCTGGTTAGGGTTTCGCCATTTTTTGCAGTGAGTAGTTATGAAGCTATGAAAGAATGCTTCTTTACCAATGATATCCATTTCGCTGATCGGCCAGCTTTACTTTACGAAGATATCTTTGCTATAACAATGCCATGCTTGTTGTTGCCAAATATGGCCCTTACTGGAAAAAAATCGAAAGCTAGTCAATCAAGAACTTCTCTCCATTAGTCGGCTCGAAAAATTCAAACATATTAGATTTTCTATAGTTCAGAAAAATATTAAACAGTTGTATAATTGTGATTCACCAATGGTGAAGATAAACCTTAGTGATTGGATTGATAAATTGACATTCGACATCATTTTGTAAATGGTTGTTGGGAAGAGCTATAATAATAGACATGGAGAAATATTAAAAGCAGCTTTTCAGAAGTTTATGGTTCAAGCTATGGAGATTGAGCTCTATGATGTTTTTCACATTCCATTTTTCAAGTGGTTAGATCTTACAGGGAATATTAAGGAAATGAAACAAACTTTCAAAGGCATTGATAATATTATCCAAGGTTGGTTAGATGAGTACACTAAGAAGAGAGAAACAAAGGATGTTGGAGGTGAAAATTAACAAGATTTTATTGATGTGGTGCTTTCCAAGAAGAGCAACGAATATCTTGGTGATGGTTACTCTCATGACACTACCATCAAAGCAATCGTATTCGTAAGTAAATTAATCTCTGCTTGTATTCTAACATGTTGTAGGAGGCAATTTATCTTATATTTTAGGTTACTATATTCGTATATAATATCACTTTAATTTTTATAGACAGTTACATATATATTGTTATTTTTTAAATGGCTTAGTCGTGTATAGATTCTTCTAAACTTTTAGTATTTCGAAGTAATTAAAATTTTAATTTATAGATTCAGTTGATAAACACTATTACCGTAGGTAACACTACAAGAAATCAGGAAATTTCCGTCCGCAATTTCCGACCAAATTTCGACCGATTTTAATTGGGCGGAAAAATAATGGTCGCAAACGTGTACCGATCGCAGTTGGTCGGAAATTTTCGACCGAAATCGATCGTAAAATATTGGTCGAAAATTTTCGACCGAAATCGATCGGAAATTATTAAAAAAAAAATAAATTTCAAATTTCTGACCGAAATTCCGGCCGATTTCGGTCGAAACTCTTAAAAAATAATAATATTGTTTAATTAAATAATTATTTGTAAATTATTAATTTATTTAAAAAATAAATGCAAATTCATAATTTCTGACTAAATTCGGTCGGAAATTTCGATAATCTGGGGAATTTATTTGAAATTTTCGACCGAATTCGGTCGGAAATCATGAATTTCTGGGCAAAAAAATTTAATTTTCGACCGAATTCAATCGGAAATCTGGGTAAAAATTGGGCAGAAAATGGCTGTTTTTAAGCTACACCACCTGCCAATTTAAACCAATATACATCCTATAATGCCAGCTTACAGCCATTCAACCATGAAAACCCAACAAAATAACAACTACTAACAACCAACAACAACAATTAACCAACAACTAATAACCACAACAACTACTAAAGTGTTCAATAACAAAATAATAATATAATCATCATTCAAATAACCAACAACAAAATATTGACAAGTTTACAACTTTGTTTAACAATACACAACATTCAATGAGTTTTTTATGTAGCATCATCTCCATCTTCGATCCTCGGACTTTCATCGCCGGCAGGTGGGGAAGGGGGAGGAGACCGGGGAATGGAGAAAGCACCACAAGCAAGAAGATTGGCCAGCTGGCCTTAAAGGAGATCAAATTGTTTGTCCCTCCTTTCTAGCTGACCTTGAAGGGTATCAAATCTCTTCTTTTCACTAGCCTTGGTCTCTTCCTGCTCTGCTGTCAGCTTTGCAATCTTATCTTCCCTAGACGCTATAGTCGAACTATCAATCGCCTCGCCTTGGGCGGAAGTCCCTATACCTTGCAATCCAGCCTTGTAGCGCCGAAACAATTTATCTGAAAGGTCGTATGCTATCCCCTTTTTAGGACCACCGACAGTACCCAACCATATCCTATTCTCTTCTTCGTCTGAAATGGGCGGTCGCTCGTCTTGCTCATTCGGTGGCAAGCTCTGAGTGTACTCCTCCAAATTGATCTTGTAGCAACCCTTTATTTAGAAGATAGAAAATTACTAACTATATAATATTATAAACATTTATAGTAGTTATGAAACTTACATGTGTAGTCTCTGCCTGGTCCTCGACCCATCTAGTTGGATCTGTCAGTGCCTTCTTCCAGGTGTGAGTCTCCATGAAGAACTCATCATGAATCAATCTTCCTCCCCAATTTTTTTTCTACAAATATAATAAACGTGTTAACGAAAACTGTAGCTATTTTGTTGTAAAAGAAGAGTGCAATTTAAGAGATAGGAATTTTAAGTAACTAGATCCTTAAGAGAAATATAGAATAAAAAATACAACATGAAGCTGGGATTATATGGAGTCCACTTGAGCTTCACTGATTATCCCCTATGAATTGATTTTTTTTTCAGTGAGTGGATTGATGATTTCAAACTGTATATAAATTTCGTTCATCCAGCTAACAAACTAACCACAGTCAACTATCAATCCATTAAAATGCACACATTTTATTTGTATATTATGGTACTGTATTTGTATGGTAATATATATATTTCTCTAAGCAAGGAAGCTGAACAAAAGCAACCTCATTTAGTATAAATATGGTAGTCACATAATTCTGCAGTTAATAATATATACTACTTCAGATTTGTGGAAGACCATTAGTAGAGGAATCAAAAGGTCATATTTTACTTAAGTGAATGTTAAAAGACTCAGTCGAGTAGTACAAGAACTAATATCAAATTTTTGCAGTACCAAAATGAAAACAAATAGTGCCACTGCCCCAAGAAACTTCATTCCCACCACTTCAGTAACACAGAAGAGGAATAAAGTTTGGAACTTTATTCAAGAATCCATATATATAAGTGATAAAGCCCCTTTTTAGTAACTTATTTCAAGTCTGTCAAATCAAGCAAACCAAACTTGACTTAAAGAAACCAGACCCTTATGGATTTTATAAGGTCCTAGAATTTATCTAACTTTAAATAGCTAGTAATTTTCATGTGGGAAACAAGAGTGACCCATTTTTCTAGACAGTATAAAATTGAGAAAAACATGATAGATATGAATTCTTGAAATTAGTCAAGCAGACTAAAGAAAATTGGAAATGCAGATGGTACAATGTGATGGTATAAAATGAGTTTGCAGCGTACCTATTACCTCCAACCAACATAGGTACCGAAGTATTATGTGTGTATTTTTGAAACGCCAACTTACCGTGATATTCCAAACTTTTGGGAGATATATAAATATAGTTCGATAAAAATAGACCGAAATATTTTAAGGAATTACCAGATGTCTCCTTGTATCCCCATGCTCCTTGAACCCAAACAGTGCAAGGAGCCACCCTTCTCAGATGCTCGGGCCTTCTTTCCCTATTCACTCTGCTTCTTGAATTTGTCGGTGGTCCAATACTTTTCCTGATCCACCCATATATGCGGTAGAACCCATGAAGGCTTCTTTTTAACCCTTCGAGCGGAGCTGAAGGAATCAGAGAGTCTCTTACGGTATTTGTACTTCTAATTTTTACAAATTTCACGGTTATACTGGTCCTCCCATGAACACTTAGTCTGCAAATAAAGTAAGTAATGTTAGATGAAAATATTGTTAATATAACACTTAAATTGATAAGAATTGTATTAAAACCTTAAATTGGTTGAACATCTGTTGCACGAGACTCTCTGGAAAGTCACTCCAAGCCGGATAGGGTGTTAAATACAACGAGCCAAGTATATCAGTGATTATCTTTGTAACCCGATTATTAGGAATAAACCTGCAACATTGCAATTACATTAAATAAATAAGAGTAGTTATTATAATTCAACAAAAATAAAGAAGTAATAAATAAATCTTACCCATTGCCCTCAGGACTGATGATCATCCTATGGTAATGATCATAACGCACATCATCCGGATCATCATCCTCTGAAAAATCTGAAGCATGCACAGAAGAGAGGGCATTTGGCTCAGTGCTACTATCCCGAAGACGAAGTCTAGAAACACTAGGAGACGAACTCTGCGGAGAGGGAGACGGGGTCCGTGAAGATGGCTGCGATCCACATCCCTGCATATGTCTAGACCCCTGTTGCGATCCTGCTGCGATCCGGCCATCTGAAATCTAGATGGGTGCGATCCGGTTGGAGATGAAGCAAATGGAGCAGATGACGGGCGTATCACATATCTCTGTGACTGTGACTGGTGACTCGATGCACCCATGTAACTATTGGTAGGATCATTAGGAGGAAGCGGGGTATAGCCCTATGGCGGAGAATTGTGATAATACTGTTGGACGGGCGAATGGTGGGTAGTATAATGAGTAGATGGATGTGGTGAAATAGATCTATGCCTAGAAGATTGCTGCCGGCCATCGGCAGCAGAGGGATGAAAGTGTGGAGTGGAAGGAAGCGAGGGTGTAGCACCATCATCATGATCAGTAGGCCTTTTATCCTTCCTAGACCTACCTCGACCCCTACCGGCCATCTGCATCACCCTTATAATACAACATGCAACCATCTTCACAACAATCAATTCTCATAGACGAGAGTCCTAACTTAGAAACCAATCTTTTAGCCTTATAGAAATCTTCAGGTATGTTGAAATTTGGGTCAACTAGTTCACTCATAAGGCCAATGAAAGAATCCATTCCTGCTTGAGAAATATTGGTATCTGATTTGATACTTAATAATCTAACCGCAACAGACAACTGAGAGTGTACTCCCGTGTTTTAGTGGACGACTAGCAGCCTCTAACTGTTCATAAAAATATTTTGCTTCTTCATTAGGAGTTTGTTCAACACTTTCGTGGGTTTAAAAATCGAAGTGCATCCCTAGAGCATCCGCAACCATTTCATGGTATCTCGGATGTTGAACGTTATTCCCCACCGACCTACTACTTTCACCAATACTACATTATGAAATACACCATCAGTACCATCAATCTCTCCATGACTAGTCCACGCAAAATAATTATCCATAAACCCTTTTTTATAAAGATGACTCTTAACATCCGCCGGTCCAAAATAATGCAGACACTTGCACTTCACACAAAGAGACCTAATCAACCGTCCAATCCGAAACGGTTCAAGTGACATTGCATGCGTAATAAATTCCTTAACCCCTTCTATAAATTCCTCCCTCAAAAACCGACGATTAGGATAATTCCTATTATACATCCAATTACGAGATTCCATCTACATAAAGAACGAATAAATTATATTAACCATAGTTAATTGTGATTGCAGCAGCAGTGTTGACAGAAGAAAATGACCATATTGTTGACAAATGATTGCAGCAGCAAACTATTAACACAAGGGCAGTAAGATATGAATTTGTTTATTTGATAGAACACAGTACTACTAAACTACATATCCATTCAATGAAAATTCTATCAAAATTGCACTAACAGGCCTTATTTTATTACTTGAAAAAAGAAAACAATTTTCAGCAAAACTCCTGCGGTTTAAAGAGGAGTAAAAGCACAAACATGTACATCAATCTACAATCAATTAATATTTAAAAAAAGAACCTAAGTAATTAACCCCCAGCATAGCCAAATAACCATCAAAAGAAATACAATCATTGCCAAAAAATAGCGCATTTGTTTGCAATGCTCTAATTCTATCAATCAATTAAGACCTTATTTGAAATTGATCTTCATGGACTATCTAGGTCCTCATCATAACACTCAACTGCAAGTGGTCAAGCATATTTTCCAAGTTGGGTAAATCAGTTAGCTAATACTCTAGTGCAAGTTCTCAAGCATATTTCCTATGTGGGAAGCAGTGAGATGGAACATACATAAACAACAGATCAAAATTTTATTTCAAAAAATAATGAGCAAATGAGCATGTACAAATGACAATGTACTAGGCACCATTACAAAATATAGAAAGAAAGGATTGAACTTTGTATAGACCTCAATCCTAGCTAGTTCGTAAAAGAGAAATCAGAATAACAAGAGGCTCCGTAAAAGGCCTAACTAGGGTTCCGTTTTTCTCTAGACTGAAACGGCCCAAAACAGATCCGAAAAACGCATCTCTAAAATAGTTAAAGAGGTGGAAGAAAAAGAAAACTTACCGGAGATGGAGAGGAGCCTGAGTACCTACGATGGGCGCTTGGATTTCCGACGATGATGACGATGGCCGCTTGGATGAGTGCCGACGACGATGGTGAAGCCTGTGATTAGTGGCAGAAGTAGTGAGGCGGAGAACGAAAGAGAAAGGAAAATTGATAAGTTAGGGTTTTTGCCTCACATTCCATTACCGAAACAAACTTATTTTTTAAAATAATTGGAAAACTTAATGATTAAATTCTAAAACAATTCTCTCACTTATAAATATTATATTGTATAACAGAAATCATAATGCATAATTAATAAAATTCTAACTAACAAATTAGCAAGAATCAATATCAAATTTATAATTATTTAGAATCTAACACGTAATTATATAAACCAAAATTAATGACCCATAATTTTCAATTTATTAGCTAATTAATTATCACTGATAGATACCACAAATCTACTTCTACTTAGAGCCCGTTTGGATGGACTTATTTTAAGTAGTTTTTAAGCCAAAATAGCTTTTAAGCCATAAGTTAGGATTTCTAGCTTTTGGCTTTTAGCTTATTTTGTTATTTTAGCTTAAAAATAGTGTTTACTTAAAACATATTTATTATTTACACACACAAATATTATTAAATTTATATTTTAATATTATTCGGTCGGACATATTGAGTTATGATTATTTCGGTTTTTTTGTCTTGTGTTTTAATAAATAATTATTTTGGTTGACCAAATATTTGACCACTTTCTGACCGAAATCGGTCGAAAATTTGGAAAATTTTAATAAATATTTATTTTTGTACATTATATACAGGTTTGAGCAAATATTTGACCAATTTCCGACCAAATTCGGTCGAAAATGTTATTTTTTTCTGATATAAGTATTAAATATTGTTTACTTAAAACTTCTTTATTATTTACACACATAAATATTATTAAATTTATATTTTAATCTGTATAAAAGCATTTTTACAACCGAATTCGGTCGGAAATATCGAGTTATGATTATTTCGGTTTTTTTGTCTTGTGTTTTAATAAATAATTATTTTGGTTGACCAAATATTTGACCATTTTCCGACCGAAATCGGTCGGAATTGGAAAAATTTTAATAAATAATTATTTTTATACATTATATGCGGGTTTAAAAATTTTTTGTTGATTTTTGCGACCAAATACTCTTATTTCCGACCGATTTCGATCGGAAAGCCTTGGACGGAAATCACTTGATTTCTAGTAGTGTAATGAATTTTTATTACCCATTGTAGCAACTGATTTCACTGAAAGAAAAAAAAAAGAATCTTTTGTACCTTTATTAAAGATCTACATATTTGTTCGATTTGACTAGATTATTTTCATTTTTTTCTTAACCCCAACTCATGCATACTAGGATTTGAACAATCGTGAATCTTCATCTCTTTAATTTCTTCTTTGTAAGTCATCTTTTTAATTGTTCTTTTTCCATATATAGACTTTGGTCTTGGATGCAACAGACACACTTGCACTTCATATAAAGTGGGTAATGGCGTTAATGATAAAATAAGAATGTCATCAAGAAAGCACAAGAAGAGATGGACACCGTTGTTAGTAGAGATAGATGGGTAGAGGAGGGTGATATCAAGAATTTGGTGTATTTTCAAGCAATTGTTAAAGAAGTATTACAATTACATCCACCTACTTGTACCTTTGTCAGTACAACATCTATATGTAAAAGATTGTGTTATCAATGGATACCATATTCCTAAGGGACTGTACTACTAATAATAGGCTATATTCATGTAGTTTAGCGACCATTTACGCCCTAACTTAGCTACACTTTATTGCTATATGAAGGTTAAATGATAACAAATGGCTATAATTATGAATTTTCTGCTTTGCAGGTGCAAGTCCTGATGATGAGGACATTAAACAGTGTTTGGAGTTATTTTGGAGCAAGGAAGGCCAATCGGAGGTGAGTGCATGTGAAATAAGAAGAAAAAAATGGAAGACAGCTGAACTCCATGAGCGCGGGCCAAGCGCGGCCGCACTCAGGCCGCGCTCGTCAGACAGAAAAGAATGCAAATGTGCGGTCCAAGCGCGGTAGTGATCGTCACTTCGAGGAACATTATTTTCAGGGGTAAATTTGTACGTTCGGGGGCAAATCCCCTTAATCTATAAGAAGCCCAGCTCGCCCAAAAAGAAGGTATCAAGGCCAGCTAGCGTAATTCGGAAGAATATGTCTAGTATATTGTTATACTTACTCAGGATAGAGTTACGACAGTCAGAGTGCTCATGATCTATAGAGAAGATTTAGGCAAATTTATAGCAAACATAGCGGAAAGGATTCCGACAAAAGGGGAAATCAGAACCTTAGACCTTTCTCATTCTTGCTTACAACAGTTTATAGCTAGTTCTTAATTACTGCATTTTTATTACGTAATATTTAGTTAATAAACACCCAATACTCAAATATCTTTGAAGATTGAATACATGAATTTCTGTAAATCCAATAGTTGTGATCGATAGGATAATTCCCTGTGGGATTTGACTCTGGACTTGTTAACCGGAATATATTTGCAGCGACCGCTTTGTCCTTTTTATAAGGCATAGTTGGGCGTGATCAAATTTTAGCGTTGTTGTCGTGGAGTTTATGGTGTTATTGATTGCAGTTAAAAAGAAGTGCAAGAATTCTTAGTGTAGTCAATTTTCTTCAATTTAAACTAACCATTGAAATTCTAAAGTTTGTAGTCATGGTTGTTACAGGTGCATGCCTAGAAACTCCTCAAGAACTGGTGAATTGTTTGAAGCATTATTAGATCCTGAGAAGGTGTTCAAGGTATTGAACCGTGCAAACTAGAAAGGCAAACAATAACAGAACTCAACTGAAAGAATTGAACCAGACATGGAAGACGATAATCTAAACAACAGAGACAACGTGAATGAACCAAACAACAGAAACAACACAAATGACCCAAATGATTAGGGTGTGGCACCTCTTGTGCCAGAAGCGGCACTATATGATTGGGTACAACCCACAGCTGACAACTTAGCAACTGCTATTGTAGTCCCTCAGATACAAGCAGATTCATTCCAGATCACAAATAACATGATACATCTGTTGCAGAACAACGGACTATTCTCAGGGTCATACGTTGAAGATCCTCAGCAGCATCTGAAGAATTCTTTTTTCAATTTGTGCCACGTTGAGGCAACACAACGTGACACGGGAAGCAATACGTTTGTTGTTGTTTCCATTCTCGGTGATAGGAACAACTCAAACTTGGCTTAATTCACTCCCCATAAACTCCATCACTACTTGGGAGGAATTAGTCAAGCAATATTTGAGCAAATTTCATCCACCCAATAAGACGACTTAGCAAATTGATGAGATATTGATCTTCAAACAAAAACCAACTAAGACACTACATGAAACGTGGGAGAGATTCAAGGGTCTGCTGGTTACGTGTCCACATCATGGTATTCCGGAGCAGATGTTGGGGTAGAGATTTTACATGCGTTTGGCAGATAGTTTGAAATCCAACGTTGATGCTTCAGCAGGTGGAGTATTTTTGAGCAAAACATTCAGAGAGAGCAAGATCCTACTTGACAAGATGGCACAAAACTCAGGATGGACAACAAGGAACGCTCCAATCACTCATGTGGTTCACTCAGTGCCCAGTGGCTCTAGACCCGACTAACTCCATAGCTGAAAATATGGCCACTCTGATGACACAAATAAGCATCCTCCCCAAAAAGGTTGAAGAATCAGGCTAGAAGCAGCAGGTACACATAGTTGATGCAACCAATGGGGGGTCTATGTACATCATGCATTAATCAGCCATATGTTTGCTCATGGAATGCTGAAGGTGAAAATCAACAATATCAAGAGAACATGAATTATGTGGCTAACTGCGGGGGACCAAGACCAGGTAGTTAGAATTGGGGTCAGCAGAATCAACAATACAAACCAGTTCAGCATCAGTACAATAACAACAATAACCATAGGCCTATGCGACCACAGGGGCAAATGGTGCCTTACTAAAGACAACAAGGATACGACTAGCAAAATCAGCAGCAGGTGTATCAACAAACTCCACAACAACGGATTGTGAGACATGAAGATGGGTTTGCTAAACTCGAGGGTATGATTCAATAAGTGATTGGGTCCACCGGAAAACTAGCTGATAGAGTAGACTCACATGAGTCAGCGATTAAGAATATCGAGATCCAGTTAGCACAAATTTCAATGGCCCTAAATATCGTCCTCATAGGACGTTACCTACAGACATCCAAATCAATCCAAAAGAGCAGGGCCCAAAGTAGTTGATGGCAGTGAGTCTCCAAAATGGTAAGGACTTAGATCTGGAGCAAAAAATTGCTCACGAAAGTAGGCCGACTGAGGCACTGGTGCCCATACCCATTGAAATAGATGATTCAGTAGGTTTAACTGATGTGACAATACAGAATGCACAAGATAACACAAATAAAGAAGAAGAGGTTGTGAAAGAGACTGAAGCTGCACTAGAACCGACAGTAAAAGCAGTGCCTGAACAAGAGAAGAACCAAATCACAAGGAAGAAGCAACCTCCAGCACCATTCCCACAGATATTGGCCAAGTATCAAAAAGATGAGCAGTACAAGAAATTTTTGGAGATGTTGAAGCAAATTTAGGTAAACATTCCATTGATTGATACTTTAAAGGAAATGCCTGGGTATGCAAAGATGATGAAGGACTTGATGTCCCGCAAGTTCAACTTTCAAGACTTGGCCACGGTTACACTAACTCAAACCTGTAGAGCTGTTGTGACGAGACATATAGCCGAGAAGCTGTCTGATCCAGGGAGTTTCACAATCCCTTGCACAATAGGAAACCTTGTTTTTGCTAAGGAATTGTGTCATATGGGAGCTAGCATAAATCTTATGCCCCTATCTATCTACAAAATTCTAGGCATTGGAAGGGCTAGACCCACGTCTATGCTATTACAGCTGGCTGACCGAATAGTGAAGAGGCCCTCTGGGATTTTAGATGATGTATTGGTGCAGGTTGGGAAGTTTGTGTTCCCAACAGATTTTGTCATCTTTGACTGTCGGGTTGACGAGGAAATTTTCATAATTTTGGGAATACCATTCTTGGCCACTGGGAGAGCTTTAATTAATTATGAAACTGGAAATCTCAAGATGAGGTTAAATGATGAAGAGATAACATTCAAAGCGCAGAAATCTATGCGC